CGGTGTCTTTAAAAAGCTCCCTGAGCTCAATATCAAGTGTCTAACTCCTGAAATGACCCTGGAGGTGACCTCTGACCCCAATCATGAACATTTTTAGGACCAGCATTTCCTTACAGCGCCCTCTAGAGAGCGAGATCTAAATAATGTGACAAACATCCCCATTCTCCCCTATGACATCTCAGCCAGAGCAAACATAACATTTATGAATACATTGAAACAAAGCATATTGTAACAATATCCAATTTTATATAAATAACCTGGCCAAATATTATCCAGGTAGAAATGATTGGAAACATGCAATGGGTGCTGACTGATCTAATAGAGCTGTATAAGAAAAGATGGGAAAACCTTGATATGTGTGTACTGTATTTCAGTTAGTAAGCACTCTACCTCATGTGCCATAAATGTGCAGATGTTTCTGCAGTAACATTGCATGCTTTTCAGACTGAACTGGAGCATACACTTTCATGTACAAGCAGGGAATGGTGCTCGACTCGCCCTGCATTTATTTCCAAACTTTCAAGTTGGGGAGATCTTTAACTGAGATTTGGCACCTCTTTTCGTCAGTCTTAACACACACTTAACTTCCCAAATTCCTCATCTGCAAATGTGAACCATCTGTGCTCTTTTGTGGCCCCAGCAGCCCAGCGTGTTAATGAGAGAATGGTAAATTACAGCTAAAGCTGCTGCATGATGATGGCGTTTCTACTGTAGCCTTTAGTGTGTGGACTGAGCTGTTGATGTGTTGATTATAGATTACACTTACTTACTTTTTCTATGTCTGTTCTTTTTCTATCAGGATGCAGCAAATAGCTATTCACTACAGCTGTTTTATGAATTATAATTTTCATATCAATCAAAACCGGTGACAATATTCATCTAAGCTTTTTGTTATACTTGTTACATGAGTAAGTTTGCTCTGTCTGCACCCTGCTGCAAGGAAATCCAAAACCTCGGGATCCCCTCGGGATTTCGTGGGAAGTAAATTTCCCCTTCTGCTTTGTCCATACCCGGGATCCGATCCAGATCTCAGACCCCCGGTGGCTGCGGGGGCGCGCAGAAAATACGGTCATAGGGTCCAGGCAGCTCAGTTTCATTCTCCTTCTCTCACTCTAGATCTCGTGTACGTGTGTATTGGTTTGATTATGTGCGTGAACGCGCAGCGCTCTGGATCTCCTGCGTCAAGACTTGTGCACATCTGGTTTTGGCAGGGTCGCAGAGTTGCGGGGGAGGGTCTTTGTGTGTGTGTGTTTGAGAGCACGCTCTGCGCATGAACTCTGTAATTCGCTGCAGATGACCACTTGGGGGGTGGTGAGCGTTCCCTCAGACAGCATCAGAGAGCACGGCACTAATTAATTTGCTCTATAGAAAATGCTGCTATAGTGGTGCTGGAGTCGCGTGTAGCCTACTGCACTTTTCTCAGCATGTTTAAGAGCAACAAGTGGATTATGGACGAGTCTATCTGCAGCGTGAGAGGGGAGAGGGGCGACTGCACCTGAACAACAGAAAGCGAATGCTGCACCAGTCTCTCCTGCGCAGTGGGAATGGATACCGGCAATTCCCTGACGGGGATTTGCTTCATCCTGCTGTCGCTCAATGGATTCATCTCCTCCTCACCGGCGACAATCCTTTGTCCCGAGCGCTGTGACTGTCAGCACCCGCAGCACCTCATGTGCACCAACCGAGGGCTGCGCACTGTGCCTAAACCTGCCACGCGTGTGCCCGAAGAGTTGCTAATCTTCAGCCTAGGGGGCAACTTCATTGGGAACATCTCTGCCTTTGACTTCACATGGTATAGTAACCTTGTACGATTGAATTTACAATACAATCAAATACAAAGTATTCACCCAAAAGCATTTGAGAAACTCTCCAAGTTAGAAGAGCTGTACTTGGGACATAATATTTTATCAAGTATACCTGCTGGGACTTTACAATCCCTGAAGAAATTAACAATTCTCTGTGGAAATGATAATGACATTAAGGAGATCACACCAGAGTTCTTTGCTGACTTGGATAATCTTGTTAAACTGCGTCTGGATGGCAACTCAATAGAAGTTCTGCAGGACTCTGTTTTTAAAAGTTTGACCAGTCTACATTACCTCCATCTGGAATTCAACAAGCTGCAGCACATTCACAGAAACGCTTTTTCTAAACTCATCAACCTGCGCTTTCTAAACCTGGCCCACAACAAGCAGTCAGCCGTGCACAATACCCTAACTTTCTCCCAACTCAAAGCTCTGACAACCCTGCTGCTGTCTGAAAATGAAATTCAGCACGTCGGAAACCACGTCTTCCAAAATCTGAAAAAGCTGTCCAAACTGTCCCTCAGCAACAACAGAATCTCCCGCCTGGACAGCGGGGCTCTGAAGGGGCTGTCCAGCCTCAGAGAGCTTCTGATTGATGGCAACGAGCTGGAGGAAATCCCAGCCGGTCTCTTGGACTCTCTTGAACGCATCGAGGAGCTGGACTTCAGTCGCAACCGTATTTCTAACGTGGACTCTTTAGCTTTTTCCCATCTTAAACATCTGAGGGTACTGAAGCTGAAGAACAACATGCTCACCAGCCTGTCAGGAGACATCTTTGCCCTCAACAACGTGCTTTACAACCTGGATCTCCAGGGCAACAACTGGACGTGCGACTGTCGCCTGGAGGAGCTGAAAAGATGGATGACTGCTGCGCATTCTCAGGGAAAGTTATTGACTGTTTTTGTGCAGTGTCATGACCCTGCAACTCTAAGGGGGAAATATCTGGACTATGTGAACAGCTCCCAGCTGCAGCCTCTCGGGAACTGGACCCATATGTGTAGTAGCCAAGCTGGGCCAGAGGAGAGCCGAGGAGGGGGTGTGTTGGTTAAGATGAAGGGGGAAGAGATAGGGAAGGTGGATGCAATAAAGCAGGAGGAGGGAGGTGAGGAAGTCCAGGTGGAGGAAACAGGTGAAGATCTGAGACAGGCAAACAGCTTTGGAGTTATAATGAAAAAAGAGGGAGAAAAAAGGAAGAGACAAGGACAGAAGGAGGAGGAAATCCAGGAGGACGAAGGAGGTGTGGAGGATGCCAACCCATCTTCTTCACCAGGAAGAAAGAAACCAAACAAAGGGCCACTCAGCCCAAGGTCACGACCTGCGGCAGAGGCTCCTGGGAAACGTGGCAATGGTAGACGAAGGTCAAATGTTACATCCAGAACTGAACCAACAGCTATTTCAACACCTACAGGAAACCAGGACAGAAACTCCACTGATCCAAACTCAGGGCTCATCACTGCCTCTACACTCCAGTCAGGAGAAAAGTTTGACCTTCTGAGGTCAAATCACGAGGAGGCTCTACCAGTAATCACAGATCCATGTGAGTTCAACCACCATTATATCACTAATGTGTCAGTGGATCAAGTGACATCCAGTACTGTCACCATCTACTGGACTACCAGGGATCATCACCGCTACTCAGGAGGACTTGGCCCAGGCCTAGATGAAGTCCACTATCGGATTCAGTTTGACCGCTTTGGTACCGCAGATCGTTTCCCCCGGTACGTTTACGCTCGCGGCACAGCTCGCTCCGTAACCCTTCGAGAACTCAGCTCAGATGTGACCTACATGGTGTGTGTGGAGGGAGTAGTGGGAGGATCTGTGTGCCAGGTTGCTCCTCGTGAACATTGCACAGGACTGGTCACTCTTCCTCAGGGGTTCAGCCGTGGAGGCATGCTGACCTCTGACCTCGAGCTGGTGACAGTGGCCACGCTGGCTGGGAACGCCATGCTGCTGCTGGTCATCGGCAGCGTCTGGCTGGGGCGGAGCCTGAAGAGGAGGCTGCAGAAGAGGAAGACGGCGGTACACGTGCGGCACATGTACTCCACCCGGCGACCGTTTCGTACCGCAGTGGCCGCCGCCTCGGTGTCAGCTGACTTCACCACCTACCAGAGCAGCCGTCCCGCACGACTTGCACCCCTGGAGGAAGGGGACCTCATCGAGTTCCCTTGTGACCGCTTTCTGGACAGCAGCAGTGTTCGTAGAGATAGTGAAATGCAGAGATTTTCTGACTAGAGCCATAACATATCTTAAAGTGTTACACTCTAAGATAAGATAAGAAATACTTTATTGATCCCAATTTGGGAAATATTTGCGTTGCAGCAGCATAAAAATACATGGCATTGTACATTAAAAATTAAAAGACTAGAAATAAACATTCCAAAATGTAAACATCTCAATTAATCTACCACAGCAACACAGGAATTGCGCTGCAATCGTTGGTGTATTTCCCTGTTGACACACTTCCATACTAAAAACATTGGGTGATTTTATGGCTATGAACAAACCAAGTCAACAATCCCACTATTTTGTGTCTTTGGTTTTTCACTTGACCTTAAGAAAACTTTTGAAGTGACAATGAAGTGAACAGCTGAGCTCATCAGTGCCTTTTCAGACACCAGAGGAAGTACAATCCCTCTGACTTCCTTTTCCTGCTTTGTGCCTTTCCTCTTTCATTTCCTTGCACCTGCGAGTGTTTGTCAAAGTAAGACTTATTGTGTGTAAGCAAGAATGATTGCTCACTGATTTCGACTAAGGTGCTAACGTTGAGTTGATAGACATCATATTGTCTCATTGTTGTACAGTATGTAATGATAGCTGCTGGTGGCAGGGAAAAACACATGTTTGTATCACATCTATCATGTTTTGTACTTTTATATATAATTCTTCATTACACAAAGAAGTAAAGTCCCCAACAATGTGATTGATTTGTCATTTGAGTGTTGATTGGATGATTAGATGATTTAACTCAGATTTGACTGTCTCTGTGGCTTTCAAATATCTTTCATTTAAGCCACAGCTAATGTCCATCACAAAGGGATTATGTTTCTAGAGAATATAAAAAGATTATTAAATATTTATATGTTTATAAAAATAACATATTCACACAGAAAGATTACTAGCGTTAACCTCTTGAACTCTATGTTGTATTTGTAGTTGTTATTGACCTCAGCCAAGCATGCTAGATAATATTTTCTGTAGTTTTAATTGACTGGTAAATACTACTTTTAACAAAATATATTTATTTTATTTAAAATTGCAATTAATGAGATGTTTTACTACGCAGCTAATATTAAGTGCTTTAGAGGGAGACCTGCACCATGTGCTAGGGAGTGGAAGATAATGGCAATAACATGTTGGAGAAGCGAGTGTGTGAGTGCATGTGCATCCGTGCTTTTGAATGCATGTCAAGATGAGGTCTGGGATTAGTTAGTCAGTCCCTTTGTTCGAGTAGACAGGGTGGAGTGCCTCCCACACTTAGTCCAAATCAGGCACACATGCACATTTGTGCACACATATGCACAAATGCATGGATACAAGATGTATTAATATCACGAGACACTCAGGAAGTCAGAACGGAAAGCTTTTGACAAAATAGTCCAAGAGTCTACAGCTGGTACCAAAATTAAGTCCTTTAGTTTGGGACACTTTACTGATAGTAAATATCAGTCAGGCAAATTCAATGTTAGATTTTTCTTTGCTTTGCGTAATACAGATTACTAATGTCTATGTACTGGCTAAACATAACACAGGCTATTACATGTCACTTGTTTGACGCTTTTATCCAAAGCTATACTATACAAATACTGTGGGCAATCCCCACAGGAGCCATTTGGGGTGAAGTGTCTTGCCCAGGGACACAACGACATGCTGACTGCAGTGGGGTTTGAACCTGTGACCCCCTGATCCAAACACCAACGCACTACCCACTGCACCACATGCCTCCCTATGATCCACTATGCTGACCATTCCAGCCATCATGGTCAATAACCACTAACAAAACCAGTCACTAGATGGCAGACTAGACCATACTGTATACAGAAACAATCAGATATTTATAATATCATTACTCAAAATCACAGGTTTCCTGAGTCAAAAATAATTCTGACATGTTTTAAATGATAAACAATATTTCAAAAGATCTAAAATAAATATATTGCATTACCAGAATAAGAGATGTTGTATTACCTGACAGGGATTGAAATATGAGGTGCAGATTAAAGTTAGTGTTTTAGTGAGAAGTACAAAAAAAGTGCCTAAATGGAAAGTCTGTACAACTGCGTTTTAAATGGCTTTCCAACACAGACGTAGGTTTGATTTAAAATCTTAAATTAAATATCTGTTGTGTAAATATGAATTATTTGTAGAAAAATACAGGTTTGAGAAGATGCTTAGGCATCAACTAGAAGGCATAGAGTGTGAAATATAAAACTAATGTTTTTTAAATTAGTGCAAGATATAAGAGCAACAGATGTTTTATGATGGTGTGTGTGTGCATAGTCAGAGCGTAGCAGGCTTGCAGAAAGGATCCAGTTGCCATGTAACCATCTCAGTAAAGGTCATTTTTGCACCTGTTATGGAAATGTATCAGTATGTGGTTCTGGTCTCCTTTCCAACCAGAAAAAGATGATAATAATATTGAAAAATACCTCGATGTTCAAATGGATGTATACATTCACCTATCCAATTCAGCATTTTCATCCATAATGCAAATACATGATGCTGAGTCGGACTTAAGTGTTAGGTAATCCAGGCTGTAATTCATCAGCCCCCCCTCATCTTTGTAGTCCAGGCGTAGGGTCGTGCCCTGTCATGCCTTCAGCTGCCGAGGAGGTGGAGATGCTGTTGTGTTGGACGGCCTGCAGATGAGGCCCAGGACCTGCAGGGATGGGACTTCCTGCGGGGCTCACCCCTGCAGCTGGAATCAGAGACAGCTGTCAATCAGAGACACCGATCCTGTGAGGACTGTCCATTCTGTGAGCACCGTTTGTAAGCATTATGCATGCAAATTAATAAAAAAAAACACGACAGCTAAGATTAAAGGAAAATATCTCTTTTATTTTAACAAATGAATACTGTACATACAGGTAAAAAGACAACAATAGAAATATACGAAAGTAACTCATGCCAATATTGCATCCATCTTTGTTCTCTGAAACTCAACATTTTAAAACATAATGGCTGCTTTCTTTTAAGCCACAAGGTGCAGTATATTTTTTCTTTCCTTTTTAGGTCACATACAGGTTCAATTATTGTCGAACATTAATTTTAACCTGTCTGGAGTGCAAGATGGGCACGCTGTTCCAAGCTAGCTTCATGCAAGGCAAAATGGCAAGATATTGCATTTCACTCCAGAGTATTTCAAATACCATCAAGTATGAGTTCATTAAATGAGCATGAAAATGGAAATGAAAAATGCATTCCTTTTTAAATGGAGCGTTAAGAGAGTGCAGTGCTTCCCCGCGATTGGCTCTCCATAGGAATAAAAGTGCATGTACCAATATTTGGAGACTGTGGGGGTTAAAAGCAGAGTTTTTACTCTTAAGTGCTGTTTAGTTGCACTCAGCTAAATACAGTTTAAGGTCGCTGTCTGTTTGCTGAGGGGGGGGGCTTTGCATAAAAACACAATGTCACCATGGGGTATTCGCTTATGTGCACATACAAAGTTTCTGAATTATTCCCTCAGTGGTGGATGGAGATGATTGGTGTCAGGCATCTGGAAAAGCTGGTGAGATGTCTAGGGAGGGGGGCAGTTGTTTTACTCACTGGGATACCCCTGTGACTCTCTCTGCCGGGCGGTGACAGGACAGTCTTTGTGGGTGAGCAGAATCTCCTTTAGCTGACCCACCTCCGACCTCAGTGACGTCACCTCGTTCTGGAAACACAGAGAGAAGCAGTTAGTATCCCTGAAGTGCAGATTGTGTTAACTTGTGTGTACTTGTGTGTGTGTGAGGAGTCTGTCCCACCTGTAGCTGCAGGTTAGTGTGTGTCAGCTCTTCAGCTTTCTTCTCCAGCGACGACACCCACACTTTCCTCTTCTGTCGGCAGCGGGTGGCTGCAGCCCGGTTTCGCTCCAGGAACTTCTGCCTGCGCTGGTCGGGGTCTTGGTCTGCCGTCCTCCTGCGGCGGTGGCTGCCTACTCCTCCTCCACCTCCTCCTCCTCCTCCACTTCCACTTCCACTGCTGCAGCTACTATCTGCTTGCATTGAATGCTGGGAGTGGGATGGATGCATCTGCTGCGCAACTGGTGATAACTGCAAAAAAACAAAAAACCTTTAAAAAGTAACTCTACCATGCCGTAATGCAGAAATGTATTTAGTTAGCATATTTTGGTTGTTCTATACAACTTGGATACAAATACAAATTCTGAATAGCAATAGTAGGTCATGACGGTTCAAACCAAAGTAAATTAATACTCCCCCAATAGTTTTCATCTGAAGCTTAACCTTATTAAACGTACCCTTTTCATAATATTGATAACATTGTCATTACATTTTAATCAAGTAAAACAAACAAACAAAAAAACGATATGTCTATGTGATGTGGTTTTTGTGGACATGATTTGGCGAAATGTGTACAAGTCCAAAACAAAACAATCATATAGACAGACACTAGTGTACAATCCTCCTCAATCATACATTTGAACTTAAAACAGACTGAAAGCAGAATAATATATGTATAGTGTACATTACTTATGCAATTTTAAAGTCGTCTCAAGTGTGAATTTTTAAATGAAGAGTTAGTTCATGATAAACAGCCCATTTTGAAAATGTTCAGCTGTATTCTAGCAAAAAAACAGATGTGAGATTGTTTTTGAATGTTTCCCAAACCTCCACACAGTAGGTCCTTCATCGGCATAGTATATATACTGATGGTAATGATATAAAGTCAGGTTTCACCATCATCACTGGGCAAAGCAGTAAATATAAAGCATCGTACCTGTGAAGGAATAGACAGGGGTGGTGCAGGAGGCGAGCCCTGGTGCAGGTGGGGGGGCGGGGCTTGGTGAGCCTGCTGGTGGAGGCTGTGGGGACTTCCCATGTGCTGCGGAGGCGGAGCGTGGCATCGCTGTTGGAAAGTGATGGGCGGAGCAGGAAGCTGCGGATGATGAGGAGGATGAGGGTGGTGTTGTAGTGGTGGAGCCTGATGACGCTGTGACATCATCTCCATCATGTGATCCATGGCTGTCACAGGGTTGTTGATGCCCACCATGGCAGGGTGGTGCTGCTGGAAATGATGGCCCAGCGTCTGTTTGGATCTCTGAGAAGAGACAAAAAAAGACCAATATATATATTTAAGTATTCATGTGGTACACTCAGTGGTGGATAAGTACTCGTATTTTAAACATGTGAAAGTAGCAATACTTCATTTAAAAATACTTTAGTTAAAGTACTGAATTCGAAATCTTATTTATGTAAAATCATAAATGTTTTTGGATCCTTAAAATCCCAAAAGTACTCGTTATGCGTCATTTCCAAAATCAAATACAGTATATATTCAATTACTGTATTCGACTTTTGATGAATTAAGGCAGAGCTCATTTGAACTACTTTGTTTAAACTGCTACTGAATACCTTAACCTATAAGAATATGTCAACGTATATTTATTAGGAGATTTAAATTATAGCATACAGTAGCATTAAATGAAAATGCTCAGGTAAAATAAAGGTCATTCAAAATGTTACCTAAGTACAGTACTTGAGTTAAAGTACATTCCACAGCTTGAGTCACTGTAAAAAAACATTTGATGTTGCATAACACATTAAATACCAGCTGAAAATAACAAGATTTGTATATGTATGAGATATGATGTCAGCTTTGAATTATGTTGACCACATGTGCAAACATCACAACAATCACCCAAACCAATGCATACCTCACACATATCACATTTCTGCTATTGAAAAGGCTGTGTGCTGTGAGTCAAGAGTTGTACATATCATATCCTTAAGAGAGATTAACCTCAGTAATTGACACTCATAATAGTTTGTATATTTTCACATCTTCTCATTTAAACAGCAGATTCCTTCTGATTGTATCATGGCCTCTAGGGACGTTACAGACTCTCAAATGTCTCAAAGGCTTGTGAACCTGCTATAAGAGGACATAGGAAGGACTTTTACAGCAAGTGAAATATAGTTTCTGAATCACTGAAAGTCTTTTGTCAATGAATGAAATACAACTTAAATCCATTTAGGCCTAGATGGATTTGGGGTTGAGTTCTGTTTAAGCCACTTTATTAAATGGCTTAGTTGAATGCTCAATGCTGTCAATTTACATAAAAACACATGACGTGTTTACGGTTTATGAAACATAATAATCTTCCCACTAGTAAACAGAGTATCCGAACTTGGATCCACAAAATATACAGTACGTAAACTCTTATATGTATTTTTAAGTGATAATAAATAAACAGAATAATATTCTATAATAATACAACACCCAAGAAAGCCTATCTGCGTAATGACCACTTTTTAATTCGAATTAAGTAGCATTTTGAACTCAGGACTTTTACATGCAATGGAGTATGTTTAGGTTGTGGTATTACTACTTCTACTTAAGTAAAGGATGAGTACTTTTTCCACTACTGCCCACAGGGTTATTAAACCTAACGATGTGACACACTAAACACTTAACACCAAGAGCTGTTGTCATACATAAATGTTTCACAACTCTTATACTTGGTGTGCTTGACCCCCAACACCGACTAAATTGGTAACAACCGCAGACTGTATGTACAGATATATTTATCCAGATATAAACAATGTATGCTAAAAGCAGATAAGCTATCAAACATACAGGCCACTTCAGGCCATTTCGGGTCAAACGAGCCTTAGTATCCCACAGTATTCTACCTCTAAGTAGCTAAATGTCTCAAAATTAAAATGATAACCGCTCTCAGCTACTATCTCCCACTCAGCCCATCATCGGCTTTTCTCCCAATTATCCACAACTGTGAAAACAACTGTAGATAAGAGGGATAATGTGTTCCAATAAATGCTGCAGTCTGCAGCTTGGTACCTTCACACTTTATCATTCCCGCATATCATCTGACTAAACAGACTGTAAGAGCTAAATTAAACCTCATCTCACCTTTCTCCTCCCCTCAGCAGAGGAGGGAGAGGTCATGTTTAGAGCATGACATCACCCTCCCTCCCTCCCTCCCTCTCTCTCTCTCTCTCTCTCTCTCTCTGGCAATATTGCTATCTGTTCCCTGTTACACAATATTTCTCTAAGAGAAGAAGCAGATTTTTTTTTCCCCCTTCAACGGCGAAAAAAGGGAGCACATTTAGCCGTTGCCAAGGATGAGGTCACTGAGTCTGTCTGTGCCAGCCAGCCCAGTGCCTGCCACACACACACACACACACACACACACACACACACACACACACACACACACACACACACACACACACACACACACACACACACACACACACACACACACACAACACACAACACACACACACACACACACACACACACACACACACACACACACACACACACACACACACACACACACACACACACACACACACACACACACACACACACAACACACACACAACACACACACACACACACACACACCACACACACACACACACACACACACACACACACACACACACGGGACGTGAGTATCTCAGCTCTGTTTACTACATAGAAACAGCCTGACACTGGGGCCTGTGATTACATCATGGGTCTCCTTGGCCTGGATGACACACCCACGTTGATATTTCTGTCTGGAGGGATCAGTGAATGAAGACAGAACTGTACATGAAACACTGATCCACTTGTTGGACGTTTACTTTTCCTCTTCAGCTGAGAGTGGAGTTACTGTACAACAGAGGCATGTTAATAACCCTTTTTGTGGTTTTACAGAAGCAGGGTCATGTTTAATACCTCGGAATTGTAAAACACAACACCAGACGAGACTAAATTACAATAGAATACAATTTAAATTTGTCTGGAGAAAAGGGGGTTGTATTCAAAGAAGTAAGGTTTAGATTTGAACCTGCGACCTGAGCAGCTCCAAAACCTGAGACCACTTTTCATTTGCCACTCTATATACAAGCTCTGCACATGAAGTCATAACCCGTGTGTGTGTGTGTGTGTGTGTGTGTGTGTGTGTGTGTGTGTGTCTGTGTGTGTGTGTGTGTTTGGGTGGACGCAGGGTGTTTTCACAGTTTTCCCTTTGAAGTTGCTTTTGATAGCACACATATTTAACAATTTATACTACATGCACCTAGAAAGAGGATATGTAAAATTTACCAGGGTAGAGATTGAGAGCAAGTTGACACAAGGAAAATAAAACAACCAAGAAAAGCCAGGGAGAGCATGTAGATTAGGACTTCCTGTGGTGCGGGACCTGTGTGTGTATGTGTGTGTGTGTGTGTGTGTGTGTGTGCGTGCGTGGAGCGTGCGTGCGTGCTGGTTAAAGTGTAGAATTACACTCGGTTTCCCGCCTGTCCTGATTAGAGAATAATAAGCCAAAGGCAGAATGTGTGTTTTGTGGCTTCAATTTCAGAGGAATGGGACAGCAGTTTGAGTAATATAGTTATTTAATTTCAGTTGGAGAATTACATAAGAAGATTGATAGCACTAAATATAAAAGGCACATAGAAAGATAAACCGTGACACATAGACCAGCCACTTTCCCCTTTTGGAACGCTCCCTTAGTTGAGCGGCAAAAAGGACAAAACGACATCCTGCAACATGGCTGCTGTGAGTAAAATTGCAGAAATGTATTTTCTTTATCTTTCTGAAGTCTGTTACAGAATCGCTCCAAATTATTGTTGAATCTGAATGTTCAGTCAAACACCCAATTTCCATTCTTTTTTTTCGCCATTCATTTATTTTTCTCGCATTCGCCTACAGGGACTACTACGGCAAATTGACACTTTAACATGTTAGTTTTAGTACAGATTAAATAAGATGAAATATAACATTTAAATAGGTGAGCTTTAGGGGTGCTGGGAAAGGCTGATTTAGTCACTTCTGGATAGATTCAGGCTATATGTTCTCCCCTGTTTTACAGCCTTTGTGCTAATATGAGGTAACCAGCTCCTGGTTGTAGCTTTATTCTCACTGTGCAAGTATAAGAATGGTTAAGAAATGACTATCAGCTCTATTCCAAAAACAATGGCCTTGGTATAGGTTTTCAAGAAGCCACGAGTGGTCCAGCTGTACTAACTGTTGTCAGCAATTGTATATATGTATGTTGTGCTCATACAGGAAAAGGAAACGAATAATCAGTGAGAAACAATAAGAAAATGTGTGCTCAGTACCTGAGGCGAGGAACAGGCGTGGTTGTGTCCAGGACCGGGTAAACCCATTACACACGACATTTGCTTCTCCATCTGAAGAAGGAAAGGAATTGACACAAAAATAACCTTTCAAGCGTTACAAGGAAAAGCTATAGCGCATACATAACCTCCAGCATAAAGACTTCCTCACAAGGTCACATCCATTTGGAGTTTGACACTTTTCATTAATTCATACACAAGAGTGAAGTGATTTTTTCTGTCAGCCATGAATATTTCCAACTCGAGGATCTTGACCACTTTGGCCACTATACTTGCATCCATAAATCATGCATGTCTGGATGCAAATGTATGTGTGTGAGTCTCTGGAACTTACAGGCATGTGCTGAGCAGCTGCCCCTTGCATGGCGGGGTCTGGCAGCGTGCCAGGTAACGAGGCTGGCAGCGGTTGTCTGTGTCTGTTTCGCATGTGGAGGAGGGAGGACAGCGACCCGGGAACCGGCCTGTGGTCAGCCGCAGAGGGAGAGAGAGGGAGGGACGAGTCAGAGACATCCACGGCTAAAGTTTCACTTATCCAGTTCAGAGAGGGGTGCAGGTTTAAACATGTATGGCTTAAATGGCAGAGATAAATGGACATGGTCAACAAAAAGTAAACTAGGGGTGAAATAATGAATGACATTAATCACAGTGATGATAGAAGATGGATTAGGTTAAATCCTATTTGATTTGTTTTACCAACAATTGGCATTGGCAACACATTTACTTATTTACCTCAAGAGAAACAGATTGTGTCCCTTTTTTTAAATATCCATCTCAGAGTTTTCTGCCTCCATCCCAACGCTTTGAAGCCAATTGGAATTGTGTTTGAGGTGCTAAATACATTTAAACAGTTAGAGATTTCCACTGTCTTTTCAGAAACAATTTCCCAATTACTCTGGATAATCCACAGACTTTACTGTTCATTAGAAAGAAATAATCCGAATCAAACACTTTTGTTCTGTGGATTATCCAGAATAACAGAGACATCTGTTTCTGGAAAGAGTTGTTTCTATTTCCATCATTTTAAAAACAAATGTTCAATGCTGTTCGCACAACCATTTTATTATATTTACCTCCACTGTTCTGAGGTGGAGGCAGTTTAGCCAAATGTGGACCAATCTGGCTCTAATTAAATTTGAATAATTTTTCATCGATTCCTCTGCGAATACTGATTTATTTTACATTTTATAGTTAAAAAAAGGGTGACCGTATTTTGCATGACTCAACTTCTTGAATTATTTTCCTGCCTCAGAGTTTAGCAGGGAGGATCTCAGGTTGCGTGCATGTGAGTGTTATGAGAGAAAAGGGGAGAAGGTGGGTTTTAGGATCTTATTGGATTACCTCGAGCCAGTCCAACCTGGCAACACTAGCAGGGTAAGAAATCTAAGAGGTGGAAATGTGGGGCAAATAAAACATAAACTATCGACAAACCACTAAAAGCAAGTGAGAAGATGAGTTGTTTTATGATCTGGGTGAGGAAACACTTAAAATCTGGACAAAAGCATTCCCTCAAAAAACAAACAACAATCTAACTGTTATTGTTTGTGGGCTGGAAGGCGTAAACAGAGGTTTGAGGTTAAGAAACTAAACTGTAATGAGGCGAAACAAGTGAACGAAAACAGAGATATGGAAAAAAGTGACAGCTTGAGCGTGAGGAGAGGAGCTCAGGGATCTCAGCGGGGGGTGCAGAGACCCGGGGTGCCATGTGCTGAGCTAACCGCTCTGGCTCTCAGCCAATAAGAGAGCGTGGGCAGCCGTGGCCGCGGTGATGTCATCCGCAATGATGTCACCACTGAATCTGGGGTATGCGGCCCGTTTAACATACAACAAAGTACAGACAAACCAAAACAGCATTTCCTCACGTAACCACAACAGTTCTACCGGGACAACAGCCAGACACATTAAGAAACCAGGTCGCTATGGAAACTGGTCGTAAACACGAGGGGAAACAGTCAGACACACGATCCGTGGTTCGTTTAGCAACACTTAGCTGGTTTCACTGACTAAGATGCTGTCTGGATTCAGCTGGCACTGATTTGATGTGCCATTATCAAGCCTCAGTCACTGCCCACAGTCCTGTCCTGTCTGCCCCGGGACAGATGTTTGGACTTTATAATGTCATTTTGGCCCTTTGGTTCATCTAATGTGGGAAAGAGGCTTTGTTTATCTACTATATGTTGCAAGCAAAATGAGAGAGCTTTTCTTTTTGTAAGACAGGGTGTCGGGATAAGAGTAGGCTGTAAAATGACTCAAACCCAAACACTCAAGTGTATGATGTCATCAGGTATCAGGTCTGACACTGCTTCATTGACAAAGTGTTTGGAAAGATGTTTGAGGTAACACTGACATCACCAAGGGGCATGCTCTTAGTGTGTCAGGGCATTTTCTTTTTGGTTTAGGAAATGGGAACATTACAAATAATGATGCTAATGTGGGTAAGAGAAAGATCAAAAACATTCTGTTGGTACACAAAATCGGTCTTCCAGTCATTGTCTATATAGCAGATCTACAGTATATACTTGATCACATCACAAGTTTGACACTTTATTCTCTAGTTTCTGGCTTTAAGGGAGAGTTGCTCATGTTTACAAATGTTGAATAAACGTTCCTAGGCCATGGGAAATATTTTTTTGTAATTATTAGATTTGCAAGTGTTCCCCTTTAAGGCACTGACAATGTATTCATAATGTTCCCAGGGTATAATGTTATTATAAAACTGCCTCTTCTGATTTATTAGGTGACATTATGGCTAGTAGACAAACCAATTAAGAACTATATTTTATGGAAAAGTGAAAGAAAAGACAAATTAAATCACTGAAGTAGCAGTTAAATTACAATTTGTGAAAGAAGCTGGCAGTAAATATGAAATGGCAGTAGGAAGATTACAAGGCGTTACAAGCAAAAGCAATAAATAAAGTTTCAAGTTTAATTATAGCATGGAGAAACAGAACATGTTAGAGACTATTTTTGTTTGATTCTTTTTTAAATAATTTCAACTAACATATTTTATAAATACTTATAAATATAAAGATTGGTCATAATCTATTGACAGATGCAATATTAGATATTTACCAGTTACAAAATGTCCACATTAGAGGTAAACTGGAATGTATTTTTTACAGCTAAAGAGCCGCTTACAATGTTACTTTTTAATCGGCTAAAGTCTTGGGTATTTTAATCAGTTAATAATTTATTATATTTGACATGCTTGAAATACAACAATACTATTTTTCACATCAAACAGCATGCTCCAAGAAAAATGGGTATAACATTGTTAATTCAACCCACGGTAAATGTAACGAGATATTCAGATGACATAAATCCAAATCCAATGTTGAAATGTCAGGCGGAGGGAAAGCAGCTGCTGGGAGCCGCTCAGATGAAAGACAGGAACTCTTACTCTAATCTGTCTGAAGGACGGGTGATAACCGCGGAGCCGAGGAGGCTGCACAGGCTCTGAGCCTCACAGACACAACACAGGCAGTATTTGGGTGGCAGTGGTAGTGGGTCTGAGTGGGTGTGTGCAGCAGTTATCAATCTCTAATGCTATGACTTTGTTCTTGCAGTAAATTGATGTTTGTATTATTTTTCTCTCTCCTTTCTCTCAGTTCATTAGTGCAGTGATAAATTATGCAGGGGGAAATGCCCAGGCAGAATGATTTATAATACGTCCAAAACAGGAGTGACAGAGTGAGAAAAGGCAACATTAAAAAGGAAATATGTGTGTGTGTCTATATGTGATGAAGGCAATACGTTCTGCTGCTGAAAATAGATGCCTTCAAGGGATAGTTTGGGTTTTTTAAAGCAGGGTTTTATGAGGGAATTATCAATATGTCAAGGTGGTCAGTAAATCCCCAGGAATAGAAATAGCACGGAAGCAGAGCCAAGTTCTGCTGTGGACAACATTTGTAGGCAAAATGTATTTTAGCCATTTCAAAAAAATGCATTATCATTTAAAATGTACGCTATATTTTGAGTATTTTACCAAGTTACCCTGCCCCTACACAGCCCTTTCCATTGGGATCTGCAGCTGTTACCTGCGCTTTCTTCAAAGCCACCAAGCTCCATTGACAAAGTCAGTTTACCGCCTAGAAGAGTTATTGTCTACCGCTGCCTTGAATGGTCAGTATATATGCTTTTTGGTGACTAAAGTGTTTTTAAAGGTTAGTTTGGATTCAACAAATTCACACAAACAAAAAAACGGCTTCAGTTCCCTGGCGGAAAGTTCTGTCCGATAGCAAGGTAAAGCGTGAAATGTTCTTTATATAGCTCACACTTAAAGTGATCTTTATTTTTTTGTGTGGTCCTTTCTTTTAGGGTGATGAAAATATGTGTTGCTGCTGCCCCCTTCCACCGCTGTATATTATTTATCTTCTGTGCCTGTACATATTTCTCCAAAGTGGCAGCATGCTGACCATCCTTTACTGCAGCTCACACACTGACTATGGATAAGTCCCTTCTTCACACCAGCTTTAAACTCTCCTTTTAAGGTGTGTGTGCTGCCGTACTCACCCTGAGTGTGTGAGGGCTGAAGGAGCCTGGGTGATGACGGATCCGGACTGCGGGGACGACAGGGCCTGCTGGGCGTTCAGACTGCAGCTGGGGCCCATCATGGGGCTGTGGGACTGCGGGTGCTGCAGGGGGTGGGTCTGGGGGTGGTGCAGCGGTGGCTGGGGGTGCTGGTGCTGAAGCTGGGATTTTAGCTGCTGGTTCATACAGGAAGGCCCATTATGAGGAAGCGTCTGTGGGGAGAAGTGTGAGCGACAATTAGCTGGGACCATTTTAAACTTGCGGTGTCTACTTTCAGTCAGTGTTTGTGTGGTTATTTTTTACGTGTAAGTGCATACATTTGTTTAGGTGTGTGTGTCTTTTGTGTTTGATGTGTAGCTGTTTAATTTACAGGGGGGAATGTGATCGCCCGGTGTGTCTTTCCTCAATGCCGGTCAGATATCTGCAATCGTCTAATTGAGTCTGACTGGTTTTATCTCCCTCACACTCGGGTGTCAGTCAAAACGCTTATCTGACAGAGCTCACAAGCAAACACCTATCAACAGCACGGCACAAGTCAACATTGTTTCTTGATTCTTGCTGTTAAGACTCAAGTTAGGATGAGGTTTAGTCACAAATGTTTTACCTGTTTGCTCTTTTCTTCTTCTTGTGCTTGAAGAAACTCTTCCTCTATCTCCTTGAAAAGACCAACTTCTTCACAGTTCTGCAAAAACCGGGTTGGCGTCGGGGTCTGGTCTAGAAGCGGGAAATACAAACAAAAGAATAAAAATGTATGAATTGCTACAACATAAAAGTATTTCCTGTTATAGCTGTTTGATTTGTAAATCGACTGTTGTCCGATCTGTTATGCAAAGAGGAGAAACAAGTCTCCTCTGAGCGTTGCTCTGTCTCTCTCAGTGATAACATCACAGGGGTCAAAGGGGTCAAAGGTCAGCTGCGCTCTTTGTTTTGACATGAGATTTCCTGCAGGAGGCGTGACAGGCTGCAGGACGCAGAGAGAATGATAATTTTCTGTTGCACGTATGTTAAAGCGCTTTTTTTCCCCTTGTCTATTTTTGCAATCACAAAAAGTATCTTAAATAGCATCAACACTATCATGGGACACCACACCCCTGCATAATCCCATGATAATTAATTACATATGAATAGTTTCTCTTCAGGGTTAGCAGCTCTTCAAAAAGAGTTATGCTGACCCTTTTTTGATCCACTTGTGGGAAAATCAAGTCAAAAAAGAAAAGGAAAAGGAAATCACACACACAATTACTGTGGTCGAGGCATTTTTCAAACATAAATGCATTACATCTGCTTCTGCTTAAAATAAATGCTTTTAGTTTTTTTGGACTGTTGGTTGTGCATAAATAAAGTAATTTAAATATGTCAACTTGTAATATTTCTGAGAGATTTTAAGATGGACAAAACAATTATGCAATCAATCAAAACAATAATTAAAAAACAGTGGTATATTTACAGTCAAAAAGCCACTTTTGCACTGATAAAACTGTCCATCTGATGTTGGTAAAAATGTTTTCAATAAATCAGAAACTAACATAGTGTTATTGTGAAACCCTGGCACACACAGTAACAAACTGAGGCATCCAAAGCATTTAGTTGCATCAATTCTCCCACAAGTTCCTCTCCTGTACCTGTAACCCTGCACCTCTCACTTTGCAATATAAACAAACAAGGACTAAAAATATCTTAGGAGGTTTATGAAAGTTGGTCTTCACTGAAAGCGTTATCACTGCTTTCTGTCAAATCTGATGGAGTATACTGTACATGTTGCAACATGAGCAGCTCCGTTTCACAGCACAGCCTATCTGAGGAAAGGAAGCCTGTATCGAGCTTATCTGATTTCATATTGTATAACGTTGTGTCATCATTTTTTTCGTCAAGAACTGATCCTGAAAAGAGTTCACCACACACACATGCAGACAACAGAGTGATACAGTTGCAAGAACAAGTATGTGAACCCTTTGGATTCTCCACACATAGCGTTGTGTGTTCCTTCCAAACAACTCAACTTTGGTTTCATCTGTCCACAGAATATTTAGCCAGTAGTGCTGTGGAACATCCAGGTGCTCTTTTGCAAACTTCAAACGTGCAGCAATGTTTCTTCTGGACAGCAGTGGCTAACTCCGTGGTGTCCTCCCATGAACTCCATTCTTGTTCAGTGTTTTACGTATCGTAGATTCGTCAACAGAGATGTTAGCATGTGCCAGAGATTTCTTTAAGTCTCTAGCTGACACTCTAGGATTCTTCTTCACCTCATTGAGCATTCTGCGCTGTGCTCTTGCAGTCATCTTTACAGGACGGCCACTCCTAGGGAGAGTAGCAACAGTGCTGAACTTTCTCCATTTATAGACAATTTTTCTTACCGGCGTGGACTGATGAACATCAAGGCTTTTAGAGATACTTTTGTAACCCTTTCCAGCTTTATGCAAGTCAACAATTCTTAATCGTAGGTCTTCTGAGAGCTCTTTTGTACGAGGCATGGTTCACATCTGGCAATGCTTCTTAAGAATAGCAAATTCAAAACTGGTGTGTATTTTTTATAGGGCAGGGCAGCTTTAACCAACACCTCCAATCTCGTCTCATTGATTGGACTCCAGGTTGGCTGACTCCTGACTCCAATTAGCTCTTGGAGAAGTCTTTAGCCTAGGGGTTCACATGCTTTTTCCACCCTGCACTGTGAATGTTTACATGGTGTGTTCAATCAAAACATATAATTGCTTGTGTGGTATTAGTTTAAGCAGACTGTGTTTGTCTATTGTTGTGACTTAGATGAAGATCAGAACACATTTTATGACCAACTTATGCAGAAATCCAGGTAATTCCAAAGGGTTCACACTTTTTTTCTTGCAACTGTATATAGCACGTCTAAGAAGTGAACATACAAGACCAGTATTTATGGGGATACACAAACTCAACTATTAGCTCTTGGCTAAATGTTTTTTTCCCCCTCTTGTGCTCTCTCACCTGTAAAGGGCAAATCCGCCTTGATGGAGGAGAACTTGAGGGACATCTCATGCTTACGTCCGTGGATGGTCAGATGCTCTTCTAACTGGAAGCGCTGCATCACACCGACAGAGTGAGAAAGATATGAAGAGATGCATGTAGCTGCATGACACGACACATGGGATGAGATGTTCAATCAAATCAGCTGACGTCTCTTATAGCTGACTAATCAGTCTCTGAACGTAGTTGATTATATGTACAATGTTTGTGTTATACATTTAACTCTTATTGTATTTTTTGTATGGCTCTTTGGCACAGAACTGAGTATGCTACCTTATATTTTATGATATTTGTTTATTTTTACAATTTAAATCCCATTAATCCGCCTGCCAGTGTCCACAATTGATAACCATGACTTCACAACATTATTTAATCTTCAATAGATGCAAATATATTTTTATTACAGCTCATACGCAGGTGTACCACACATCAAACTGACCTGAGAGCAGCCAGGTGCGCCGCACATATAAGGCCTGTCCTGTTTGTCATTCATGTCATACACCAGCCTGCAAAACACAAGAAGCAAGCACAAAATAATTCATCATTACTGTGTGAAGCATACTACGGATGGCACGGTTCATTGTGTGATGATTTAATTCGGCAGGACGCTTGTAGCTCTTCTTTAATTACTCAGAGAAAGTGTCCTTAGATAAATCACACAGTGAGCTCGTATACGATACATTAATCCTGCTATTATCACGTCTTTATTGTTGAGGCGGTGTGCAATGAGGTAGATGCCACAGATGATAAATGTTTCACCCAGAGACAACATTATCTGTAGGAAAATGATCTCTTTGGTGCCAGTGGGAGAGCAGCAGCGTTGCTACATAGTCATTTTTCATGAGGAAGTGCTTTAATAAATACTGTATTCATTACATATAACTAATAACATGAAGGCAACCAAAGGGAATTAAAGCTTTACGTCATTTACTTTTGTGTAAATGTAGTGCGATAAAGCTTTCATCGGGGGATACAATGCCTTCAAAACAACAACAGACAGACAAATAACAACAGACAGAATAGAGATGAACCCGCATGTAGCGCTAACTCTCGGATCAACACACTCAGTTCTTGAATGGAGATATTAAGCCTTGTTGGGGGTAATTATAACTATTTGAAGTGCTGCTGCTGACCCCTAACTTTCCACTGAGAGCAAAGGAAGGAGCCTTCAACTCAACGGCCTCAGGCATACCTCGAAGCTGTGTGTCACCAAATGAGATTCACACACTTGTAGAGGTCAGCAGGGTGACCCTCGCTTGACTTTTCATCCTCCTACCATAGTAAGTGTTTACTGATAACTCAAGGGAGGAGGAAGAAAGGAAACGGTAAAGGTACAGATGGCAGGGATGACAACAAGAAAAAAAGCGAGGGGCACTTTTTACACTTACACACTTTTCCCTGAAGCAAACTTCGCATTTGTGTGAGCATTAAGTGCTGAGAAGACAGCAAAGTGTCATGGGAAAGTGAGAGCTGAAGAGAAGAGTGAGGAGAGAGAAAGAGAGGGCAACAAAAGTACACTCTTCCATAAGAAATGGAAAGTGTGTGGGGTGGGAGTTGGAGAGGGACATTAGGGTGATGGTGAGAGGAATGGGAAGGGCAAGTGGCAGTGAGAGAGGGAGAGAGAGGGAAAGAGAGGGAGGAAATCACAATGAATGGAAGAGAGAAGGAATGACGGTGGGAGGCGGCAGGGGGAGGGATGCACTGTCGGCCTACTCCTGACAGGTTTAAACCTGCCTCAGCCCCCATTTTCCAACCCCTGCAAGTAGAGGTGACTTCATAGGTGTGTGTGTGGTGTGTGTGTGTGTGTGTGTGTGTGTGTGTGTGTGTGTGTGTGTGTGTGTGTGTGTGTGTGTGTGTGTGTGTGTGTGTGTATGTATGTATGTATTGCAACATGGAATGATGAAGCAATTGTCCACAACAACACAATTACAGATACAAAGAGAGATAGATAAATAAATAAAGTAGAAAATCAGTGGAAACAGTCAAATGGTTACATCCTTTTACTGCACATGGTTATAGTCTTTCTTGGTGCAATGCTACATAATGTGATATATTAAGGCATAAATAAATAGAAAGCGTAGTTAATGTTAATCATAAATATCATCCACTGTTTTCTAGCTCTCTTTCTATACTTTAAGCAGCACTTGAACAAGATGAGCAGACTCAGCACATTTTCAGCAAAACCTTCTGTCAGGACGATTACATCAATGCGGAATGACGTCATCCTTAATACATAAACCCAACAACGGACCAGACAACACGTTGTCAATTCAAGACGGATAATTATATATAAGACTTTTTTCTGTCCTCTATTTTCACTCATGATAAATGACATAATACAACTTTAAAGAAACACCTGCTTGAGAATCCTGTACAATATGTCCAGCTAAAACAAAAGAAGCAACTTACTTACTTCTCAAAGTTGCCATGTTTGGATGTCAACAACATAATATCGAATACGTTTTTCTTCCGAAATGTAGGTTTTAAGCAGCGGTTCCGACCAGAAACTCGTCCTGCAGCCGGACGGTTAGTGCCCGTATGTGTCCCAAGAACATGCTGGTGTGTTTCCTTTCCTAACGCTCCGTATAGCAACCTGTTCACCTAAAAAACAACCCGGCACAGCTGTATGGAGAGTGCTGTCACACCCCCCCAAATAGACACTCGCGCTCAACCTCGTCCGTCTGATGATGAGACTTCACCGGGACAGCCAAGCCAAAAAAAATCTTAACTTTCCATAGCGTCAAAAATAAATAAGGACGAAATACACTTCAGAATATAAACTCAGCACAGTGTATCCGCGTCACTTGAGTTTAAAAGTTTTGTGAATGAAAGTTGCTCAGGCTTACCTACAAGTGGAGAGGGACGAGCGGCGCTCCAGAGAGGAACCACGTTGGACTGGAGCGAGATTACAATACGATCTATTTACAGAAGCATTACATCACCCGGTGACGTCACGTGGGATTCCTGAAGTTCTAAATCATTGCGGTCCCGTACGGAGAGAGGGGCTGAAGGTGGGCGGGGTTTAGGACACCGGCGGTAGGGGGACGGGACGGGACAGCGGCATGGTGCGGACCTGGACAGACACACAACTAGACACACCGACCGCAACGTGACGGGACACGGGACAGACCGGGTGGGCGGATGAGACACTGTTGTTTTTTTCCCCTCCCTCCCCTCTTTCTGTGTGTGTCTGAAACGGGAGGTCCGAGTGTCTGCATCTAGTTTATATGCGGAAAATGAGTACCCTCAATGCTTTTCCATCTTTTCTGATAGTTATTACTTATTTTTAACTTAAATTAAAAGGATTATTATGAAACAAAAGCAGGCTTGAGTTTAGGTCAAATATAATAGGGCTTCTTACCGAATTGATCCCAAAAAACGAAACTGAGAATATGATGAGGTAATGAGTTTGTAATAGCCATTGATATCAGGCTAACAAACTTTTGTCCAACGCTAGTATAATAATTGGCCCTAATAATAATAATTATAACAGGGATAATAATAATCCTCATTTAAACAAATTCATATTATCATTATTATTGTTATTATTATTACTATAAACATATTTTTCCATGGAGAGATTCCCAATTAAATAAGTTGTTATTCATTATGATTTGTACTAAAATCGTATTGTTTATCATGTTATAGATATATGAGAAAGAGAGGGATAATCATTCCGCCTTATGTATCTTTTTGATAAATGATTTTCAGTTAAGTAACACATTTAATTCCAGCACTTTTCTTGTTTTCAGAATTTATATCGATATTAATATTTTTGCACTACTGTACATATTGTAATATACATAATTATTCTCGTTGTTTATTGTAGTAGAATGTGCATTTTTTTAACTTCCCTATGTTTATACAACTAATTTAATTATTTTTTAATAAAGCAACTGTCAAATTGGCCTAAATAAAGTGTTTTGATCCTGATTTTAACTGAAATAAATAAATGCTCACTGATATGGTATTTGATCAATATCCTTTATATGATTACATTCAATCCCATTGGCCATTGTACAAAATAAGAGGAGGGGACTTTGGTCATTCACATCTCTGCTGAGCTAAGCCATGCAGTAATATCTCTGCCATGTTTGGTCAGGCTTTCCGGCCTGCAGCTGAACAGAGGGATATGGTTTTGTTGTGATTGAAGTTCAAAACGGGACCAAGCCCCACTGACTCATCATCCACCAATCGCATAGAGTATGCAAATTCTGGTTGCCAGGGAAACAAGAAGAAACAGGAAGTTGTGATGATGTCACTCTGTTTTGGGCTCTTCCCCCATGTGGATGTGAATCACTGAGCTTTGTTTTCAGTGAAGATATGGGATGTTTTACGGCGCGCTTGCCCGTGAAGAGTGCACACTAACACTAAAAAGTGTATGACGGCAGACAGGAAGTCTCTGGCTGGTGCCCTGGAGCAGACAAAGCCACTGAGATTACAACTACTTCCATAACTCAGAGGCTACACCAGCCATTAGTATCTGGCACTTTCACCTCAGCATGGCTTTTAACAGCCAGACTGGGAGCTTTCTAGAGCAGGCTGATGTCACCCTGTCTGTAAAAAATATGGGGTTTAAGGTCAAAGGTCAAACAAACTTACTGACCTACATTCCCACGTAACATTATCCTCACTGTAGCGTAACATCTCACATCTAGCTCCGCTGCCAAACTGTTTTGATTTGATCCATGATGGTTTATGACTATTTGTTATCACAGCAGATAGTGGGTAATGTGCGATTTAGCAAATTATTTGGAAACATATATTTTAAACAGAATCCAAGTTACAGTCAATTTGATTCTGTAACAAATGGTTATATTTAAATATACACACATCTCTCTCCTAACATGCAGATCCACTGGTTGGACTGTTTGTCTTCAGCGAAAAAAGAGCTGATAATGCAATCCATGCCAATTTGAAATCCATCCCAAGCTGTTACATTGTGCGCTACACACAGTTCAAGTGATGTCATGCACCACAAACTCGCTTCAAGTCTCTCCCTTTCTATCTTGCATTTCACAACACATGCTACCACTTCTCATTTACGCAATAGTGTTGGGAACTGCGTCACTGTCACTACTCTGATACACCATGTGCGTGTAATGAGTGTGTTTATGTTGCGTGTGTGTCTTCACGTGTTTGTGTGTAAGAGAGAACATCTGTATACTGTACATGTGTGGACACCAGGTGAGGTCATGTTGTTTGTGTGAGCGCATGTGTTTGTAAAGGCTGTGAATGGGAATTTATTTTATGTTTTTGTATGCCTGGGTTTTAAAATGGTTGGATGGATAGAGGACAGTCAGAAAAATGTTCCTAGGTCTTAAGGTTGTTTGCTGAAATCACTGGCCAGTGGTTTATGACAGGCCATTTTAACGCTTGATTAACAGGTCCAACACAGGCCAGCCGGCCCTGGTTAGCCAGCCCCAGTGATTTAAGGACATTCTCCTCTCTCTGCGACTCACACACACATAACAGTTTCCTCCTCACAACCAAGCCATTACAGGGAAACATTAATCCTTAAACTTTATGGATGTGATAGATGTTGTTGTCAACGGGTGATGCACGCACAAACACACACATAGCCTACAAGTGCAGTGATACCAACTCCAGCACCCATGTGCCATTTTGATCTCTGGGTAACTTTGCAAATGGTATTTTTTTTATTCAGTTGCAAGCTGCAGTAAAGCACTGATATGTTTCATAAACCTGCAATATTAATTTAAAAACAGCGATCAAGTTAGACATTTTTTGTCATTCACATTATCAATTTGGTCATTTGGGCACTCTATGTTGTAATTTCATTACCTTTTTCAGAATCTTTACACAAGACACTTGACACCTGTCCGTTCTGGGGAGGGATCCATCCTCCGTTGCAGATCCCGGAGTTTTCTTCCATTTTTCACCGTTAATTGTTGGGTTTCTAGGGAGAGAGGAGTGTTGTATGCTGTACACACTGTACAACTCTCTGAAACAAATGTGAAATGTGTGCTATTGGGATTTATTGTTAGCACATGACTGCAAATGAATGTTTGGAAAAATGGTAAACCAACAGCTATTTGCCATGATGAATATAGAGCCAAGAATTTAGTATCAAGTGTTATTCTGGGACTGTGATGCTGCCACTCCTAAGTGACCCTGGTCACTGCGAGTTCAGTAGCTCCTCTGCATCACATCCACACATTGTCTGGAAGACTGCTAGTGCCTATTCATTGGCAAGCTAAAAGGTCCTGATTAGACTCTTTTATCATCAGCTTTTATCAAAAGCTGATGATTAAGGGGTTTATCCCAATCAATAAAAATGTCTATATATATGAATTTAATCATCAACTTTAAGACAAATGTAAAGTAAATAACCTGCTATAGATGGTCTACAGTTAATGAAAATGTGAAAATTACATTTATTTTGGTATTTCCAATGATTGTTGGTCTCTATCAAATACATTTATTTTGAAATCACTATACTCTTGCATGCGCTTTTTTTGGTGACTACATAATTTCATTTTTCTGTGTAGTGTTTAACCAAAGACTCAAATGTTTATTTGTGGTTCTAATTGGCAAACTTTACATTCATTGTAAAAGTTAATATGGCACTATGCTTCAAACAAGTATGGTGTAAAACACATATGCTATATGTATCTGACCTATATGTATAGGTAATACATATCCACACAATTTACATCAAATTGAAAATGATTGAAATCCATATATTCCTCATATATAAGTTGGGCCTTTACAATTAATTAAGATGTGAGATATAACCAGGGTGTTATTAAAATAAAAAATTAAAATAAACTGCCTCTGCTAAATCAATAGTATTTGCAAAAACACACTGATAAATCAGATTGTGTTCATAACAAAGGCATGCACATGTATTATCATGTATTGCATGCAAATACGCTACGATTACACTTTGATTTAATTTAGTGTGATAGTTATCATCAATATTAATAACAATATCACAGTCAGAGCTGATCCATGGTTCCAACAGGTAGGCAGGTCGTGACGTAGCCTGCCACCCGCCGACCATCCTCCTCCCCACATCCCCACCCCCACCGGCCCGCCTGCCTCCCAGTTGCGCTCGCCGCTGTCCTGTCTGGCCGCCCGGTGTCTGCTCCGCCGCTCCAAGCTCTGCGGCTCTCCCACTCCCCTGAACCCGAAAACTCTGCCTCCTCCTGCGGTCACCTCCCCGGCTCCCCCTCTCTCTCCTCCCGGTGAATGCACCAGCGGCGCAAACATGACGGGCATCGCCGCCGCTTCTTTCTTCTCCAATTCCTGCAGGTTCGGCGGCTGCGGTCTCCAGTTCGAGTCTCTCGCCGAGCTCATCGTCCACATCGAGGACAATCACATCGGTGAGTCGGAGGGGGGGAGACGGAGCCAGGCTGCTAGCTGCTGTTAGCATCCTAGGCTAGTTAGCTGAAGAGCTGCAAATAGGCTCGGCTTTGCATTCCGCTATTCCTGCTGCTCGCTCTCCGTCGAGTTTCACCGGAGTGCGAGTTATTCAGCAACAAGAGACTTTATTTCATATGACAAGTACTGCTTCTCTGTGAAATAAGTGACCGGTTTATTTTGCATTTGCTTTGATAGTTACCTTTTGCAGCGGTAACTCGACTCCGAG